CAGTTTTCACGAAAATAATACATTCTAAACTAAGAATTGACATACCGCTGCCAGTTCGAAAACAAAACTAATGATGAGAACATATAAATAAGTGATTGAAAGAGCAACCTAGTCGGGCATATTGAAATAATTGAAAAAAAAATTTGGTAGTTTGTAGCAAATATATGTCCTTATATCTTTGGCGTAAAAAAGAATACTAAAAAAATTGTAAATTAATTAATACCTTCAGTGAAATACGTATTAATGAAAAAAAAGTTTGAAGAAGATAGGCTGTCCCTCTTATGCAACTGAAGTATGATGAAGTAGTCATCGGTCAAAATATTTTTCACACTGAAAGTGAATGGTTTGTCATGATAGTAAATTTGTGTATATTAATATGATCAGCGATTAGAAAAACATTATTTTGTTATATAATAAAGTCAGAGCAAAACAGAACAAAAAGCTTAAAACGCTCTATAGTAGGTACTTTATTGTTCCAAAATTTATAGTTTAAATTTGCATCTAAGGCAAATTTAAACTATAAATTAACTGTTTACTTGGAAACTGTGATCAAACGACGAAGTAAAATGCTATAAACACAAGAAGGTTGCTTAATAATTATTTCCCATAAACTTTCGTTTTAAATTAATATGTAGTATTTAATTAAGTAAACTTGTTCAGTTCTCATAATAATATACGGATTTTTTTATATTATAACACTCATTTCATTATATATTATAGTACTCTGAGAATAGTTATATTCATTTAAGTCAAGTTTTATGGAAAAAGTCTATCACTGAATGGCGTGCATGAGATAGTTCAATAAATCAAATTCATAATATATGTCCCATCACTAAAACTGTCATGTCGCCATATTTACATCTTGTGCCGCTTCAAATGTAAGGGCGCTTGTGCACTACACTGAATTTTCATGTCCGGCGGTCCGATTTTTTCAGGTCCGATATGTCAGGCCATATGTAGGTAATGCGCGCTTGTGCACTGTCAGGAATTTTACCGTCCGGAATTTTACTTTTCTCTATTCCGGACCGGTTTTTTCAGGTCCGTGATGGCGGCAATGAAAAACGTGTTTACGCTTGTGCACTGCTGTGTCCGAGATCCGGAAAATTCATAAGAAATAGGCTTGGGAAAAAATAATCGATTTGAATCGATATTTATTTCGGCAATATTGTTAATTTCCAATAAACTTATAATCGATATTTATTGTTGATTATAAAATGCTATATTTTATATGATGATTTAATACAGTTGGTATATATCACTGCATATGCTTTGGAAAACTTGGTATAGTTCTAATTTGATCAGCATATGGTTCTAGTATCGATACTTAGCTAGATTTTAGAATCGTATTAAAAGTATCGATAGTTTAAGTAAGATAAATAAGTGTTGTTACGTTTAGACAACTGAACCCATCTAAATGGAAATTAATATAGTAAATAGACTTAACTTTAAGAAAGGACATAGGCTACATTTTATTGCGAAAAATAGGGGATGAAAGTTAGCCTGGAAATGTGTCATTGTCAATTTTTTTTGTAAACAATTAATAAGTATTGATAAATATTTGACAACAGAATTAATAATAAAGAATAAACAGAAGATTATCAAAAGTAATTAAGTGAAACTCAATGTCTTTTTCGCTTTTAATAAAATTTTAAATGTATTTTTGTGTCATTAATAAATTTAAAAAAAAAGTATTCTAAGGGAATAATATTTCTGCTCAAAGAAACTACACCACGCGTATAAAATTATGCCTATATATAATACATACAGTCAACTGATCTCGTAAAGTTCATTAAGCATAATAATTCTCCGCTAACACGGCACAAATTTCGATTTGTTTACGAAATGGCGCCACCGATTGGTCTATCTCTGTAATCGCTGAAAGTTGTTTTTACAAAACTTCGAAAAAAAAATAGCACATTTAAAAATTTAAACATCAAGTACTAGACAATTATCAGTAATTTTATTCTAATGTCAGATATTTTTAGCTATTGTATGTGAATAATGCTGTTCCTAAATTAGTAAGGGTATAAGTTTTTACATCTGATAGTAGTCATCCGATAGTAGTAAAAAAAATGCTTTCGTCTTGCCATAATTTATTATGGTTTATGTAAAACGATCAGACCATTATTTAGGTACCTTTCTACGTCTTCGAACGGAATTACCAACGTTCCAAAAATCTCATCGTACCTAGCGTAAGTGACGTGTAGCTTCAAAGAGAGCTGCCCTACACTGGGCCGCTCCGATCAGGAAAAAAACGGACAAGTGCACAAGCTACTAATCCGAGTTTTTCATGTCATTCCGGACCGGAAAAAATCGGACCGCCGGACATGAAAATTCAGTGTAGTGCACAAGCGCCCTAACGAGGTACAGTACCGTAGTGACATCCATAAAATTCCCCTGTTGGGATAAACAGTTTTTGGACACAAAGGACAGCTTGATATTGAACTTACTTTTTTACAGCGCGAGAAATCTAAACATTCGAGTGGCAAAGTGGTGCTCAACGTAGGAAACCGGAAGGTAATTGTTTATTTTTAAATTTAAACTTATAAATGTGCCTGTTTTTAAGCGCCAAAGAGCGATTCCGTAAAAATCCTAACCCGAATTCGAATTCAATAATTTTGAATCAATCAAAACACCAAAGTCTTATATAATACAAGTTGAAGACAAAATTTTATTTTGGATCGTATAATTAAATTTTATTGGCTGCGATTTGCGAGTGATACTCATAGTATAGCACTTGGATACGTTCAGATCATGATTATTAAAAAAAAAACAGTAACTATAAAATTTATTAAGGTCCTCTTGAAGAAATGTATCATCAACATATATTAGAAATTTTGAGTTTATAAAACAAGAACCATTGTCATTAAGAAAGATGACAAATAACACGTCCAAGCAATGAGCCCTGAAGCACCCTTATATTAAAACTTATCATAAATACGGAGAAGGCAATTACAATATATCAATTTAGGAACCTATTCAAATAATATAGGTATCTTTAAACTTATTCTAGTACCTAAGCTAAATTCCAAGATTTTATTATATTGCGAATCTTTCCTATTTTTTTGTTTATTTAGGATTCTAATAAGATTGGATTTCCTTGGGTTTGATCTCGGACTATCTAGACACACACAGTGGCAATCACAGAACAGAAAATAAGAGTAGAAGTAGCATACCGGCTGCTTTGTATGAACACCAATGTAACCAAACTCACATAATTAAAGACTCACATAATGAAAGAGCTCGGTGGCGTAGTGGATAAGCGCCGCGGCCCGCGATCTTTGTCGTTAAGCAACTTTCGCAAGGGTCGGTCACGGGATGGGTGACCAAAAAAAAATATTATCTCGAGCTACTCCGTGCTTCGGAAGGCACATTAAGCTGTTGGTCCCGGCTGCATTTGCAGTCGTTAATACCCTCCAATTCGCATTGGGCCAGCGTGGAGGGTCATGGCCCATCCTCATTAACCATCCATAAGGAAGGCCTGAGCCCCTGCAGTGGGGACGTAAAAGGGCTGATGATAATGAAAGATACCCAATTCAAAGACCAAGTATATGTCGCAGCCAAGAAGTATAATCAGCGGACCAATTAGGCGGCTAGCCCTTTAATGGAATTGAATGGTATAATCAGCCGACCAATTAGGCTGCTAGCCCTTTAAAGGAATTGAATGACGGCATTCAATTAAAGGGCTAGTCCTCCAATTGGTCAGCTGATTATACCGCTTAGCTGCGACATATACACACTTACATTTTTTCGTGGTGATTTGTCTTTGAAATTAATTTGAAAAAAATCGTAAGTCACATTACCATTTAATTAAAATTCAACCTTGCTGCGATCAAACCATAGTTTAAAAAGCAATCGATTTTTTTTGATTATATTAGTACAGCTACTACCCGTAAGATGGCACTACTGATACAAAACAATAGATGTGTCAATTTTGTCGACTCAATTAGGGTTGGGAATCATAATCTGCTCCTGTGTTAAAATTTGTGTTACAAAAAAATTACAGTTTAATGACCAAGAACACAAACACTGCCCCCTTAAATATTTATTTTATTCAGTAATATTTGTTTTCATAGCGTTTTTCTCTTTTTTCGTGTTCTTTAAGGCCTGACTGCCTTAGGTAAGTAATATAGGTAAATATATTTTTAACTTCTAATTTCAGGATTCGTTGTTCAACCAACTAGAACAGTTAAACGACGAAGAAATACACGAACATACTCTAATGGAAAATAACAATGAAGTTTATCAAGAGTAATTAACTAATTTTAATTTTTATTTAACTTTACATTAATGTTAATAAATGAGGAAGTATTTAAAAAAAATATTAGTTCCCAAAATCAAACTGTCGCTACGGTACGTTCTTGATTTCTCCATGACAACCCTCCCGTTTTCATTTCATGTTTAAAAGTAAATTAGTTTTTAAAACTCAATAAACAACTCATATTCTATTTGTACTTTTTCGTATTGGTATTGATATTTAAGTATCGAACTTTTCAAATTTCAGTTTTTTAATATGTTAAAAAGAACGGAAATGACTGTCTTTGGTCCATTCGTTTCCTGCAAAAATCAACTTTTGCTAGAGTCGCCATCTAGTGGAAGTGCTTTTTTAGTGCTTTCGTTTTTTTTAAATACTCCCTCATTCATATTTTCCCTGTAGAAAAGTAGTTACGAAAGCTTTTTCATAATGTTTTAAAACTAATTAATTATACCAACTTAACTAGCTTCTATTCGCAACGTTATCAGCTGCTTGGTGCTTGACAATGTGGAAATATTAAAATCGAAATACAAAAAATATTAATAAATATAATATTAATTTTCACCCTTTCTACCTCTACGTGCAAAATCTTTATTTTGTTTAGATAAATGGAAATCCCTGGTGCACATTTTTTATCTTAAGATCTCCGTTAGTAGGACCATTACCACCTTTCCGGCCCTACAATTTTACTAATGTTATTGTACGTATTAATTTAGTAAGAAAAATTTCCTGTTTTTATTTGTAGGCAGTCTGAGGATAAAGACGACGAAGAAGAGGAGCCGGCGTCTTTACATGGGTAAATTTTATTTTACTTTGATTTCTTTTTCATGTGACATACATTGCTCAGCTTTGTTATTTTGCAAATGTAGAGCATCTAATACAGCGCGGTCGCAGCAATAGAGATTCGATCGAATAAAACCTTTAATAAATAGGTTTATTTATAATAGACTTCAAAAAAATGAGGTTAATCAATGTGAAGTATATGCAATTTCGTTGGAATTGGTCTATATGGCTACGAAATATGTGTGCTAAATTTTATGTGCAAAACCAGATATTTATGACTATTTGTGTTTCGGTTTTGCTTATTACAAAAAAATTGTGTCATTATTTCTCTATTTTCAGTTGTTTCTCTTTAATGCGATTTTTTGAATTCGATTTAATTTTTTTAAGGTGAAAATTTAAGAAGGCAAATGGAAATTCATCTTTTTTCAGGAGCATTCACGACAGCCTTCGTATTGTCCCTCGTGGTCCCGACAAAGACTCCAGAATCAACTATGAGAAAGTAAAAATTATAATAATGCTTGTTCTGACCTTTGAAAGACTTTTTGGAAGACTAATTAGATCATAGAATACTTTTAAAAAAATCCTTTCACATATTTATTATATTGTGTTATTAATTTTTGTGTGTACTTTCGCTATAACATCAATATTTCATCCATTTGAGTTACTAAAGGTTAGTGTATTGTAGAAAGTTCAATAATAATAGTAGAAACTTCACACATTCTTAGAAGTGTTCCATTTGCGTTTTGGTTACTTAGAATAGGAATTCTTTTGGTTTTGATCCATGATCAAATCAAAACAGTTATTGTTCAAAATATTAGCTATTTTTTGCTCACCAATTTCGGTTACTCCGCCCAGTGATCACCAGACGCATCGTCAGTGCGACGAGTGGATTCAATATATACTTCCATTGATACAATCGACGGGTCTTCCGTCAGATATAGTTACATTGTTTCATCGAGTTGTTGTTGATTTGTTTTTAAATATACATATGAGTTTGATGGCACAGTAGTGAGTGCGCTCGGTCTGCGATACGGTTTCTAAGCAAATTTCGAACTGGCAGGATGAGTGACCAATTTATTATTTCAAGCGCCTCCGTGCTTAAGAAGGCACGTTAAGTCATCGGTTCCAGCTGCATCTGCAGTCATTAATACCCACCAAATCGCACTGGCCCGCGTGGTGCCCATTCTCCCTATAACTATATAATTCGATTCCATCCGTAGAGAAAGCCTGAACCGTGGGAACATTAATAGACTGGTGATGGATACAAATCCCAATGCTTAAATAACGCACTGTTATTTTATATCTTATATGAACCATTGATGGTAAAATTTACAGGTATGTCCAGTGGATAAGTGTAAGCGTATGCAAGTGGACTCGTTCATGAGATCTTTACCGCCGTACATGAGGGCCAACCCCTTCATACATTTCGAGCAAACCTATGACGACTATGAAACTTGTTCACCAGGTGTGTTACTTTTGTCTTAAAATAAAATCAAATGCTGTGTACATATTGATAAGCGCCACGGAATATTAAGTATAAACACATCAGGGACCGCAGGGCCAGGGTAAGCTAATGAACAGTGGCGTGCACACCGTACATGCAAATAAGCACTAACCTACTCACCCTACCCATAAAACTAAACCTACATTGTTTAATTCTTACATATTCATACATCAACTCGATACGAGTATTCACAGACTCATGATCATGATTTGGTTAAATTAGTAAAAGTGCCATCTATAAAAAGTTGGCGGAATTACTCTAACGCTCTAGTATTTTCAACCAACCGCTACGCTGGCGCCGCCGCCACCGATGCGGCCGTAAGCTGCACTTCTTACAGTTTATTCCCAATACAAACATGTGTTCGCAGAAATTATGTGTATGTGTATGTAAAATCCCTGCATGTGTAACGGTTTTGTGAGGCACTGCCTATCACAATCGGTGTATCGTTTAAACTTTTTTTTGCATTTAATTTGAAATAGTTGCAAAGGGAATGTGTATGCTCGGGTTAAACTAAAAAAGGTAATATTACTCGTTCTTTAATAAAAAGTATTATGAAATTTTAATTGATTAGCGTTCAAAATTTACATACATATAATTTAACAACCATATTTCCTGAAGTTTACAAATGAGTAAAACTAATAGTTACGATACAAGTGACTAGCCAACTTTTAAAACAGTGTGGCACATCTGTTTCATAATCTTTGTCGACCACTCTGTGGCAACGTAATCTATGATATCAGATGTGCCACAACAGACTTATAATTTTAATGCCGTTTTACTGAATAAAGTATTAAAAAAAGATAAGCATGTTAATTTTATTTACAAATATTAAGGTATTGTTCAGATTGATACCAAACGTTTTATCAGCTATTGACTATTTACGTGAACAATGTCTAAAATATTAGATATATCGACGGTTCAGTAGTTCTTACTATTTCGATAAAACAAAATAATTTTGTGGTAACTTATAAATAAGTTACATTTCGATATTCATGGTGACCAAAAACATATAAATGATCATCATCCTGGACTCATGAGAAAGTACTGAAACTATGATGAAAATTGGTAAGTTTTTTTAATATAGGCAGATGCTACACCCTTCCCCAAATCCCTGTGCAGCACGCACCTGCTAATATTAGTTACACATATCGGAATTATTGCATGTCGTAAACTTGACTCTAAAAAAAGAAAGGCTCTGTTAAACAACTTTTTATATAGCCATGTATTAAGTGAATATGAACTAAGTACACATCGTGTAGTAAGCACTCCAGTAAGTACGCTCACACACGCTACCTAGCGGAAAAATATGGCTAGTTAAGCGTTTCAATAGCTATTTCGGTTTAAGGCAAAATTTGGAATCCACGCGTATTAATATAGAATGTAGATGTGTTTATATTTTAGTCTCCAATCAATTTCAATTCTAGAACAACTAGAAATCTTAATGAAGAGGATAGAAGAGAAGAGAAAGAAGGAGAAGACAGCTTTGCCAATATTCGAATCGGACCCCTTGAAGGATTGGTATCCAGAAGTACAAGGGGTGGGAGTGCAGACGTCAGAGGAGTCGCTGCCACCCTGCACGTGTATAGTTCCGAGTCCCACACCGGTCTCCAGTGTGGGAATGATATTTAACAGTTTGTATCTACTCCTTTACCTTACTCATTTTCGTCCTGTATTTTTTAGTCTGGGTATATACTATTCAACATCAGACATACAAACTTCTACAACTTATAATAATGGGCAAAATTGTTGGGAAGAGTACAGTTGAATTGGACCGGTAAGCCACCTGGGGAAGAAACGGTTGTAAGAAGCTGATGGTCAATAAGGAAGTATTTAAAAACATAAACATTAATTCCCGAAATCAAACAAGATGTTGCTACGGTACTTTCTTGATTTCTCCATGACAACTCTTCCGGTTTATAATAAGTTTGGCAAAAAGGGCAAGAACCCAGTGCCGTTAAAACAATAAAAAAATACAAAAAAATCTTTCAAATATAGGAGTAAATTAATTTTCAAAACTCAATAAAAAACTCATAGTCCATTTGTACATTTTCGTATTTGTATTGATATCTAAGTTACGAACTTTGCAAAATTCAGTTTTTTAATATGTTAGTTAAAAGGAACGTAAATAACTATCTTTGGTCCATTCGTTTCCTGCAAAAATGAACTTTTGCTAGAGTCGCCATCTAGTGGAGGTGCTTTTTTGGTGCTTTCTTTTTTTTAATACTTCCTCATTGCAGAGGCACTTGTCAATGATAAAACATCACTTTCAAAGTTTTTCGGTTGTTACACCTTTAACACGCTACGACAAAAAACTTAGCACTCATAGCTTAGTCACACTGGCCGATCATCATTCAGCACGCAGAGTACGGGCGACCTCTGTACGCTCATCTGATTGATCAATAAAAAAGTATCCGGTCAATAAAAGCGAAGAAAAGATATCGCCCGCTCGTCGCGCGCTGATTTCATCGACCACTCTAAATACGCCATCAGAATTAGAACAAATCTGACGGAAGATCCATCGAGCGTATCGCATAAGTATGCATTTAATACGCGACGTGCATAATTGAATGTCAATTTAGTAATTAGGTATGTTGTCAGTTCTGACCTTCCGCGAGAGTTGTAGAGGCCTAACTAATGAAAAAGAAACTCAATCGATTGAATGGTGTATAATTGGTTGTCTGTTAATGATTTCAGTGGCGGACTTAATACCGGTCAAGCAAAATTTGGATACGATACGAGCACATTGCTTCTACGATGATGATATAGAATTTGACAGGTTCAAAGTCCTCGGAGAAGTGACCAATGAAAATTTGTAAGTTCAATGCTCTGCCTACTTATACCATTATCATTAAAAGTAGCGGTACATTGAAATCTCTAAAATCACCTAACCAAATACTTCAGCAGGCGTAGTATGACGAAATCGAAAAATGTTTTATCTGCATCCAAATATCATTCTCAAGGTCGAAAATAAATTTTCTAAAAAAAATAGAATGGTTATATTGACAATAATATGCTAAAAGCTAACAAATTATTCGGTAGGTTCCAGGTTCACGTTATCACACCCCTCCCCCTCATCTGTTTAATGCTCTTGACTTATTTTCAAATTTTTGGTTTCACTACAAAGTACTTCTCATTTTTTTAAGTTCATTTAGTGCCTCATTATTACACGTTTTTTTTTCCTGATAATTTGCTGCAATCTAATTCCTCAATACATAATCCTTCCAAAGATTTTACTCGACTCAGAGCGTCGTATGCTTGGTCTTCCGCAAACAATTTTGAACCTAAATAAACAACTGCGTGGTCTAGCCTAGCATCTTGTACATAGTAGAAGCCCGTAACAAAATTAAGGACAACATCCGTCTTTCAGCCGTTCTATCTATAATTGAACTCTGCCGGAAACTGTATGGCTTTAGGATGAATAAGATGTATGCCGTCTCTTCCGAGGTCGATGTGAACTGACGGCACATGTGTTTGGTACATTTGGGTTCGACGAAACTGATTCCAAACAATTTCAGTTATGTAAGCAGTTTACCAATCCTTTTGATACGTCAATATTAGACCGCAACATAGCTTTGCCAAATTCTGACATTGATTTACCTAAAGGCCACAATATGAAAGTCAACAAAATAGTTTTTGTCTTCACAGCGAAACACGCTGACTGAGTTATTCGAAGCTATAATTTTCTCGAAGGTTGGCCATCAAACAATTAAGTTCAACCTGCGAGTAGTGTAATGCCAATATTGTTGAGACACGAGTGTCTTCATAACATTCTATAGAAAATCGCTTGCCATACAATTGCAAATTTTCTTTGATGACACGGAAATTTCGCATCTCTAAATATCCCGTTTTATCCAATTCGTTTGGCGGTAAAACCCACGAATTTGGCAATATAGGTGATTACTTCTTTATATGTTAGCGTTCGTTTATTAACATCTCAACGATTAGGGCTGAGAATTGCAGCCCGCACAATATTTGCTAACGATATGGCACTCCATTGTATACGGGCATATCCAGAAGTGCAAATGTTGTGGTCACCTTGATGTCACGAAGCCTCATTTGGGCTTCGTTGCAATGTCATTAATTGGACTGAACGTATTTGGGACCTCAATTCTTTCAGTTTCTGCTTCTTCATTTAAATCTGCCACATTAAGGCGTATCAAGTCTTGTTCTCTAATTTTAATATATTCATCAATACATCCATCTGTGTACAGTAGGTTATTACGTACTAACCATCTTAAAGCACTAGACTTTTACGCAAGGTATTGTGAATTATCTTGTGATCTTTAAATTTTCTAATCGTTCTGTAACCATTACGATATCTCTTTGGTTTTATGATCTTGGAAGCATAGTCTTCATAGTAGTTTTTACTAACTTCAAAGATATTTTAGGCAAACAAAACAGCTTGTCCGCTAGAACCGTACTGCCCATATAGTCCAGTAAAATATAAAACAAACATGAAATCTGGCCTTTTATCTTAGATTCAAATTTTGACGTTATTACTTATTTACTCTTTTTTTTTTTCATTTTTAAGCATGTCTTGTATAAATGTAATACCCATATTGAAAATTAAAAAAATATGTAACCGGCCATTATGTTGACAGCCATCTTGTATTTTAATATTCATTATGAACTTTGTTCTACTTGTCAAACCCTTTCATTTAATACTCATATTGTAGGGGTTATGAAAACATATGTAATCCACCATTTTATATCGGCGGCTATTTTTGTTCTTTTTACTTTTATTTGATAACTACGTCGAGGTAATTGTGACAAAATTTACAAAAATACAAATTTTAGCCATCTTGGATTAACAAAAAAATTTAATTTTATTGTCACCAGAATTTAAGAAATGTACCAAATTTCAGATCAATCTGTCAACAGGAAGGGTTTTAATTTCCATTACTAGATTTGACCCAAACAAACAAACAAACAGAGCAAGTAAAAATATAAATAAAACCATTAATAAATATGTACGGTCGATGTGAGCATGAACATGAACTCTAGCATGAACTCTAGAAATATTCTTAATCGTAATGTAATACCAACATTTTTGGCCATATAGGCCGTGAAATTGCATATTTTTACTAACCCTTAAATATTTTTTCAGTAAACAAGACTCTAGTGAGAACTTCACGAAAAGAAGACTATCCGGAATCAAAAGAATATTAAAAAAGCATCCTAGTCTGTGCGAACTTTTCCAAGCCAACACTCAATGCTGCTAATTAAACAAAATATGTTCCATACAACTTTATTTCTAAATCGCAAGTATACTAAAGCCTAATAAAAAAGTACAAAATACGATGACTTTCATTACCTAAACAAACATATAACTAGAAGATTTGGTATATTGCAATTCAAAATATTTGGAACCCCAACGCAACAGCACATAAAAATAAAACCTATGTAAATATTTATAATTCACTATATAATGTAATTAAGATCGGCTGTATTATGACTTGGCGTAATTATGTCCGTTATTTCTTTCTTTATAGATGCTTCTATTGTAATGACAGCATTCTCAGAACTATCTTTGAACTCATCGATCTCTAAAGAATCAGGTGGACTCTTGTCTTCACTTTGGATAATTACCTCTATCGAGTTTACCTTCTCTTCAACACTTTCTTTATGGTCAACAAAGGCAGTATATTCAAAATTTTTGATATCTTGGAATACATCTGATCTTACTACATCTACAGTATTTACTTGATTGTTAATTATATCTGCCGGTGACACTTCCGTTATGCTGGGTTTCGATATTGTCTTAGGAATAGCGGATTCAGATTTAGGTATTGGAATCTTAGATTCTTCTCTAGATATTTTTGAGTTCGATTCAAATGCTTTTACTGATGACTTTCTACTGAGGGGCATGATATCGGCCACGACAGGTGATTGTATTACATCAAATGGTACAGAAATGCTATTTTGTTGAGCCTCTACTTCTTTACGTCTACTTTGTTTTCTTTCCAGTTGCCGTTGAAGCTCTTCTATTCTCTCGTCTTTCAATTTGAGCAAATTATCTAAATGTTCTACCTGTCAATATTAATAATTCCGTTAATATTTATCTATACTGTTGCTTAAAGTACTTACAGTAAACATACACCGCACCGAAAGAGGCGGAAGAATTTTTTGCGTGATTACATATATAACCTCCGCACACCAGAACTCGCTGAATCGTCAGATTTCTACTATCACCTGTAATTCATATACAAGGAGTATACAAAAAATCGTCCACCTCCTTTGGCGCTTCCTTAATGTAGTCGTATCGGGGGCATCAATTTTTTTAATGTTTTTTATTATTTGTCTACAGCTCTATTGTTAATCTCCTATAACGTTATATAGGTATACCACCTTCTGTTTTAGCAGTTCCGCCGAATCCTTTGCATCTTTGAGTTCCTCCTTCAGGGTTTGATAGAATTCATAGCTCACCATTTTCTGTTGCACCGTCTCTAAGACACCATTCACACGTGTCTTCATTGGCACTAGTAGAACGTTCTCTAAAGAATAGCATAAAATAAAATATTATACTTACAGTAGACCATTATTAAATTATTGTAATTTACGAAAATAGATATAATGACTGAACTACGATGATAAGACCAAATTGTTTAAAAAATACATGAAACCTGAAATTAGTAAGAGAGAGAAATTAGTCTTCTAAGATCTAAGGCAGTGTTACCCCCGCAGGGGTAAAACGGCAATTTTAGGGGGGTAACAGAGTTGGCACGAAAAAGTATTAAAATAATAAACAAAATAATAGTATGGTAGCTAGTCGACTCTTGTCTGACTGTGGAGCATGACATGAGATGAGCGTTGAGTGAAACCGAATTTAATATTGTTAAACTTGCGAATGCAAAGCAATATCAACCTTCACACTAGTTAAGTCAGGGATTTATATATTACTAGTTACCTAAACGTGCAATTTCTTACCTAATAAACAATTATTTTTTCGAATTTGTGTGGTTGAATAATTTTTAATTAGCTAGGAGTAAACTCAATTCCCATACTGATCTGATCTAAGGTTAAGGTTCGTAGTCGTAATAGGACTGCCGTAATAATTCTGCCTGTTTGTGTATTTGAGCACAAACCCAAACCGTGCCCAGTTTAAACATAAGTCTTTGCAAAAGCAAACATTGTTTTAGTTCAAAACTATTAATTCGCAGAATGCCTCGAATGAAAGCTTTTGCAAATTTCTTGCGATTTAATAATTTTTAGTTTAATAAAATCCAGTCAGGAATGTGTCAGATTCGCGCTCTGAAGATTTCCATATTTAAAAATACAGGTATCAGAGTGATACAAGAGACCTCCTCTTGAGATACCGGACAACCAAATTATTTACCATCGTCGCCACAGGCTTCGTAATAGCTGCCGCCACTAGAGACATTTTGTTCAGTTTCCTTCATGCTTTTATTAAGCTCTTCATCACGGCGTACCTTATCACGAACTGCACAATAATAAAGTACCTTAATTATCAATTATATATTTTCTTAATATATAATACTGCTCGTTGGTTTGTTTTGCTTCCTTTCAATATAGATATCGATCAACATTATCACCAGCCTGTTCGTGACCCCACTGCTGAGGTACACGTCTTTCCTGAGAAGGGAATGGAAAAGGGTGAATGGACTACGACCCACCATGTGAACGGAACCAATGTGAATTGGTTGGGGTTAACGATTGCTGATGCAGCAAGGACAACGGCTAACGTATCTTCCTAACGTATCTTCCGAAGCTCGGAGGAGACCGAAATAATGAATTTTTGGTCAACATGCCTGGCCATTGAGAAAGTTGTCTAACTTCCGCATCAAGAACAATCGCGCTAGCTTTTGCGCTACCCATTGACTGGTGATGATGAATCCTCAAAATTTAGTACTACTATAATGTCATATCGACATGGGAAACCGTTTGTGCGATAAATATCGGATTAGCTATCCAACTTACCCATCAACAACACTCGTTCTATGACTCCCGGTGCGCTATTGGCCAGCTGTTCCATGGTGTTACAGCAAAGGTTTAAACGGAGCTTCTTCAATACTTTTCTGTTTAGCGTCATCCAATTGTTTAACTTCAGCGCATGACTATTGCGTGGTGGGTAATTATGCATCTCTACCAATTTCGGATAGTGGAAGCTTAGCATTTCAGCGAGAAGTACTGCAAAAAATATATTATCGTGAGAGTGTTTACTATCAGGTAAATTATATATGATAAAAATCTTAAAAATGATGATGATGAAACTCTTTAGTGCCGGGAATCCCGATAAATTGGAAGATAAAAAATAAATGAAACAAATCTTAATTAATTAAATAAGTTACTCAGGCGTGATTGTGGATATAGAAATTCCAACTGATACTTCATCATTAGGATTATGTTCTTATTTTAAGGTAGTTTCAAGATATTTATATAATGATGATTTCAACTTGATATCTTTAAATAAAATAAAACAAGGATGTGCCGGATAGCGACCACCGGTACTTGGTTTTGATTATTCGTGGCTTTAGCTATTGGATATTTTGCGTAAATTTTGGGAGCGATAAATAAAAGATGTGTGTCGTTGAAAAACCGTTTAAAAAGTGAAAGTAAAATTGTTTCAAAAAGTTACAACGTCTTTTTCTTTGTAAGTTGCGTTTCGTTCGTTCATGAACATGCCCCCGGCCTTGGAAGCAGTTGCTTTCAATGTCCTTAGCGACTCGGGGACTCCTCTTCCTCGCATACAAGAGGACAGATCTTTGCGTAGGCTCGTCGAACAACACCCGCAGCAGTCCGTATATCCGCCACTCTTGAGATGCCATCCTTGCCTGGGATAGTCCGCAGTACTCGACCCAAGCTCAGCACCGGCCCACAGTAGTCAACACCGCATCGAAAGAATGGAAAGGCAGGCGTTATTCTTTCCACGGGTAAATTACCCATGCGAGTTTTACCTCTAAGACGTTTACAGGTTACGCAGTTCCATACTACCTGCTTAGCCAAATTTCGACCATTCAGAGGCCACCAAGTCTCACGTAAATTATAAATAGTAGCATCCTTTGCATCCATGCTTTGCATATAGGTATTCATGCCTATTATCAATACTCCTGCTAGAAATTTGGGACTTATAGCGCAGCTTTAAACCTTTGCTTGCTATAACAGCGTATACTGTCATATTGTTTTTTTTTACTGTAACTGATATGAAGTTTAAAGCCGTAAATGAACATGTATTCATGTTAACTATATTGTCGTTTGCATAAGTTCTTCAACTACAACCTCCGTGGCCGAGCGGATCGCACGTTAGTTTCATGACAGTCGCCATCCTGTCCAGCCCGGCGATTCTGTAACAATCCAGACCCGAATTCGAATTCACTCATGTGTCCGAATTCACGTCATTTAGTGTAAAAATTCTATTGATTCCATTTATTTGTATAAAAATACAAAACAAAATTGATTGAATACACGTGTCTCAGATATTCTATTCCTTATATCATTTCGAAGCTCACTTCACTTATGCTACGAAACGTTATTACCAATTCGAGGTTGAGCGGATGCCTCTTTTTGAAGTCAATTCAGACACCTGAGAGAATTCAAATTCGGGTTTGGACTTTTACAGAATCGCAGGGTAGCCCGGCGATTCTGTAACAATCCAGACCCGAATTCGAATTCACTCAAGTGTCCGAATTCTCGTCATTTAGTATAGAAATCATATTGATTCCATTTTTTGTTTAAAAATACTTAACAAAATTGATTGATTAAACGTGTCTTAGATATTTCAATCCTATATCATTTCGAAACTCACTTCACTTATTCCACGAAACATTATTACCAATTCGTTTGAGCGGATGCCGCTTTTTAAAGTGAATTCGGACACCCGAGTGGATTCGAAATCGGGTTTGAAGTTTTGCAGAATCGCAGGGCTGCACGCGTAGCATGACGAACTCGAGAACGTTATACGCGTGCTGGTGTTCTGAGTACGAATTCCATTCGGGCCAAAAGCAGAAAATAAGCTTTACTATACATTCATTGTTTTAGTGTTAATATTCTTTTATAATGATGTCGTTTTTTTATTTACATATTTATTAAACATTTTTGTTTATTTCAATTTTCGAAGTAGTTTTGTCAGCTTTGTTTAGCTAAATTTGACTTTTTTAAAGCATTCTTTAATTTAGTTAATCTTAATATAATTCTGAAAATAACAACAATCAAACCCATTGTTTAAATACATATATAATAACTTAGAAACATTTAAAAGTAATACATATAAACATATTTTATTGACAAAATCAATAAAACATTTTTATATGTATGGTTAGAGTTACAGCGAGGGACTGTTTAAGAGGTCGCTCTGCTGAGCTGTGTGTCGTGTTGTCTAATATAAAAGATACTTCATCAACTTCTTATTTGTATAAACCAGATGGTCCGTCTGTTCATAAGTATTAAGTCTTTAAAATGAGCATTTGATTGTTGAAAAAGCATCAGCTTCGTCTTCATGTAAATGCCTCGTAAAAAGCACAGCTCAACTTAAATAACCACGTGACGCACGCACAGACAGTTATTGATTTAGAGTGCAATAAGATGCAAATATTAATATATTTATTGCTCTTAATTAATGGCCGATATGTAGGCTGTTTGATTTCGCATAAGCCAAAGTAGAAATTGAACATACCAGCATCTGAGAAATCCCTATTGATCTTCTTAGTCGGTCTGGACAACTTGAATGTGTCGACCCATGCTAGAACCGCCTCTATGTCAGAGAGTGGTATAGGAGAATCCAATGTAGACATTACGTTGTGTTATCTATTATGTATCTATATAATACATACGCTTTTTTTATAAACTTATTATTTATTAACGAATTCAATACAGTTATAATTTCGCGTGCTTGTCGGGAAATGTCATTTTGAAATGTGACAGTATTTTCTTACAATGTCAGCCCAGTGATTTTATAACTGTCTATTTATAAAAAAAGTTTTTATCTACTGATATGTTTACTAGCAACATGCCCCGACTTCGCATCACACTTAATAGTTACTTATATGTAGAAATGTCGAGTCATATAACACAAGAGTGCATACGTCGTCTTTAATTTCTTGAAAATGGAACACGAGAGTAGAAATAAAAAAAATAGATATATAGACCTTTTCCCGCTTCTCACACTTGACCCAGACAACGCGTGAGAGGAAAATGAAAGGACTAAACTCTGAAATTAAAAAAATGCAAATATACTCGTAATAATTGTGTTGAATGTTTACTATTTGTATCATAACAAGATATTTATAACTTTGAAGGTTCAAGCAGAATAATAAAAGTTGTTGGTCCCACTACTTTGACGTCAGAGCGGTGGAACCAGGTAGAAAAGTAACTCAGATAATTCATATCTCCAAATTGTGTACTACATATGAACTTACTCATTAGTACATGTGATTGAAACGTTAGTCCCGCCCCCGCCTCTTCGCTTGATGTTTTGTATCGAGATTGAGTGGGAAAAATATTAATGTTTTGTTTAAAAAAAGTAAACTTATTTTTACCGTGTTGCCTCCTATTAAGACACGTTAAAACCACATACTCACAATGATCCATTCACTTTAGAAAGTGTCAATTGTACCTAATAGACATATAAACACTAATTTACAATTCGCTAAAGTACCTACAGTAAATTATATCATCCACCAATACTATAAGAGCCGTTTTTTAATAAAACGGTTCATATAGTAGTATTGCTAGAAGTTGAGTATTGAAAGTTCTTCTTACGCTAGTTACATAGGGTTGTCAGAATTTCTAAATATTAAACATATGTGATATTTACAATATTTTAAGATACATGATTAATTCAAAATTAATCCGTTGTACAGGTATTTATTTATTACATTTGAAATAAAGAATACCAATGATTATTAATTTATTGCTAACAATAACAATGCATGGTATCTAATATGCGATGCTACTATTAATGTAAACTTTCACCTAATTAAGTAATTTTAATTTACTCTAACGTGGCCACCTGTTATTGGACTAATATTGCTACGAATCTTAATCATGGTTGTCAGGTTTTCACTGATTATTTATATACTTATTCGTAGTTGCTTATTGTAGTTGTCCTGTTTTGTATGAATGTACCTTTTTCTTATGTCTAACACTAATATTGCAAAGAGGAAACATTGGATTGTTTATTTGCATAAAATTAGGCTCTGAAACCCCTGGACCATTTTTAAAAAACCTATCACCTACGGGAATTTGTATCATACACAGTCCATAAAGAATTTACATAGGCGAAGTTGCGGGATACACCTAGCGTTTTATTTTCTTAGTAGACCCCTAGACTTTTAATAAGTCAATATTACTTAAGTAGTTAATTAAATAATGTCGATTAAGGAACACATACACTCTGTATATTGATGAAAACCGCATAAAAATCCAGTGTGTAGTATAAAAGATCTTAATGTACAGATAGTAGGAAGCAACCTTATTTTATACTATGTATAGATTATTAAGATATATGTTTTTCAAAAATGATGAATGTTTCAAAAGCAGTTTTTAATATGTTTATTTGATTTTTTTTATTTAGATACTAATATTTTTTTTTATTAAAACTGTGTTTGTTTGTCCTTCTTTCACGCTACAACGGAGCGATATCATACGCTTTGATTTCGGAGCGTATGCAGTCGCCCGGATAGCGAAAGGTCGTGGGTTCGAATCTCAGGGTTCCAGGGACCAAGTGGATTTTTTAAGCATTTTGTATTAAGAATAATTGTTATGAAATATCTCCACATTCAGTCAAATAGCTATTTTCTGAAAAAAATACTTTGATCATGCGACCAAACCCGCGGGAAACAGCTAGTTGTTATAATATCATGAAATCGCGATATCTTAAGTATTAACATTTAATTAATAAAATACTTTTTCTAAATGTTAACTTGTAATTGATAACCCTAATGCAAAATGGCACTCGTCACAAAGGCTATTCACTTAATAGAGACAACACTTTCTATCTATTTAGGGCTTCACGCATATAAGCGACAGACTCATTGTCACTTCTAAAACCATTTCATTGAGATTTCATTTTCTAACAATTCACTGAAGAAGATTTTAGAAAACGCCCAGATAATGCATGTTCCTAAAAAATAGTTTTTTAAAGAAAATCTCATGTAAGTAAGCTTTTTAACGCCAGAAATATGGTAAAAATAGTGACGTACCGACAGACAGGTGTGCATTGATACTAATACCTAAATGCTATATCTATTTAGTTAATTGTATCAACCAAATAATTTATACCATACAAATTTGACATCCATATAGATCTTAAAAGCTTAATGGGCGTTTGTGCAACTGACCATTTATCACACGCGTATAATGTACCTTTCCATAGGTGAAAATTCTTTTTCTCGTAATGATTTTTTTTTGTTCGTTTTCGGTACGGAATCCTTCGTGCGCGAGTCCGACTCGCATTTGGCTGGTTTTTTCATGTATACATAGTGAAGAACAAAGTTCCTCCACGCTGTCTGTATGTTGAGACATTTTAAACTGCGTAACGAGTTTTAATGCGTTTTTCATCAATATGTATACAGAGTCATTCAAGAGAAAAGATTATATATACGCGGGCAAAGCCACTGTCGGAAAGCTAGTTTAGTATACGAAGACGACTAGAAGAGCTCAATGGCGCAGTGGTTAGAGCGATCGGTCCGTGAATTATGTGATACGGTTATTAAGCAACTTTCACAAGTGCTGGTAATAGAATGGGTGACCAAAAATTTATTATCCGGAAGGCACGGTAAGCCGTTGATTCCGATCTATTATGCAGTCATTAGCTCGCACCAATTAGCGCTAGGCCTGCATGATGAGCCATAGCTTATTCTCCTTTTTGATTTGATTGAATTCCTTCCATAGGAAAGGGAAGCAACGACCCCATTGCTGGAGTTCTATTTCTAAAAGCTAATTAACGGACTAAAAAAGCAAATTATTCTAAATATTTTTGCTAGTATTTCCTAGCTTAACGTTCTCTCACCACCAAATTAGCTAGCTTTCTATAATACATATTCATGCACACGTAGGTAGAATGTTATTAGTGTGTTGTAATTTAATAATTAGAGTTATCATGTGGTCTTGGTCGGATGAGGCAGCCAGCCGTAGCTACATTTTCTAATGACTGTTATAATCTGCAAATTGTATCAAAATACATTAGTAAATTGTTCAGAGTTTTTCTATGGAGCTCCGGCGTAACATTCAATCCATAAGTACAGTAGCTTATTTTGAAAAAGCCCGGTGGTCTATTTTTCTCATGTCAAAATCGAACACAGTAAAAAAGATTTATATAATTATGTGATGTGATCCATTCTAACCCGATCACGACTCCAAAAATCCGGGGTTCATATCTACAACCTTTACGGGGACGTACTCTCTAATACTCAAAGGGAAAAAGAGGACCGCGGTATTAGCACATTTTTGTGGCTTTGCATATGAAATTCAGCCCGGCCACGTTTATATTCAAAGAATTTGTTTACTTTAATAGATTATTTGACTATAGGAATACTGTATTTTTCAAGTACTACATGAAAGATTGTCCTCTTACAACAAATTTGTATATTATATAGAGTTATGTTGCATAATTTTTAAATCTGTGCTATTATGCAACACACCTGTAATAAATAATATTCCGACGGTGACTGCTGCGAGATTTCTATATGAAAACTGTTACTTAATAACTTTGTGTGTATCAGTTTTATAGCGGAGAAAGTATACGGAACAAAAACTTAAACGTTTCCGAAGTTATATCACTTTAATGAAAAAACATGTCGCATTTTACTCGCATACAATTGTTTTATTTCTATTGTCATCATTTATTATCGTTTACGAAGTGTCTTATAGTTGAGTCTAGCATTGGGTTTTAACCGACTTCAAAAAAAAGAGGGGGTTCTCAATTCGACTGTTATTTTTCTGTTTGTTACCTCATAACTTTTTACTGGGTGGACCGAATTTGATGATTTGGTCCAGATCTGGCAATGGCATCTATGAGAAAACCATATAAGTCTTAATTTTGCATTAAGTATGCTTGATGTTTGTTACCCCAAAATGGGCGGTTAATCAGTGGCGTAACTACAGGATGGCAAGTCGGCAAAATGCCACGGGCCCCCAGCTGGAAAGGGCCCCGGTCAGAAGAGACCTCTTACTCCTGGCATTTATTATTACGCAATTAGTAAAAAAAAAATGAATATCCGATGAATTTTCCACGGGCCTCAAACGGTATAGTTACGCCACTGCGGTTAATATTTAATTAACTACAGAAAACCTCAGCCCGATTTCAATTAAACCGCTTTTAGTATTATTTTTAATTTTTTAAATTTGATGTGTGTTCCATTTCTTTTATCTATCTATGTTCCCATTACTAAGTATGCCTATGGATAGAATCTGAAGTGAACGGTCCATATCTCATCATGTAATATATGGAGCCTCCGAAGCATAGTAAGAACTCAAGTTTCTAAAATTGAACTCAAAATATCTTAAGTTTGCTTAATTGGCGAAATCGTGAAAAGTATGTTAAGACTATAAACAACTTCGGTAGATTATTTAAACTATAAAAAACACAAAAAACAAAGAAAGTTTTTTGATATATAGTTACAGTTATAAACAGTAAGAAATCTAGAAGATTTACTTAAAAGCTGTTAGAACAACTAATCTTATAAAGGCTACACACATGGTTCAATAAGCCAACAATAGGGGCCAACCAAATATTTCTATGTGGCCAACATCCCAAACCCAAACCCAACACACATAGAAGGTAAGACCAACA